CCTCGTCGGCGTGACGTTATTCAGCTCCTCCCACCCGCTGGCTCCACCTGTCCAACGCCCTCAAAGGTGTGTGTGAGAGAGTGTGTGTGTGTGTGTGTGTGTGTGTGTGTGTGTGTGTGTGTGTGTGTGTGTGTGTGTGTGTGTGTGTGTGTGTGTGTGTGTGTGTGTGTGTGTGTGTGTGTACACTACCATCTACAGTCTGTATTTGGGGGAAGGTTGTCTGATTGTAGTTTCTGTGGACGATTAGCTACTGTGCAGGGAAGAAATCCAGCATCTTTTGAAATTGTCTTTGCCATAATCATCAGAGTTTCTTCACGTAATCTCAGTGAAAATATTGCTTTCTAAAAAAAGGGAAGGAAAAAAGGCATGGAGGGCAGAGTGAGCGGGTTATTGGTTTTTGACCCGACAACTAGTCCAGTTACCAGCTCATAGAGTCCTATAGTGAACCAGGAAAGGTTGAATATACCACCAAGTGTTATGTTTGAAATCTATAGTAGGGTCCCCAGCACATAGAAACTGCCGGATGATAACCTGAATATATTGGGCAATTTGCACAATTAGCATAAATGGTGCTAATTAGCATTATAGCCTACTCTATGTGGACAATAGTTACAAAATGGCTTGGCCGATTTTGACACATTTGGAGTGGTTTTAGAGGTAATTGAGGATGCTGAATCCATTTCTGACATATGCAGGATCCAAAAAGTTAGTTTTAACTAGTGGCCATGTTTGGACTTATTTTGATGAATTCTGGGTCAATGTTGAAGTTATGTGGACTCTGCGTCATTAGGATTTGACAGATTGATATCTATTTGAAATGATCCACAGTAGAAGTAATGTTCATCTTGTGCTGTCTATATCCAATGGTCGCAACACTACTTATGGTCGTCCCGATCAGGTGCGGCCCGTACTAAACATTTCTAACATAATGCTTAAGGTTACTCTTTCACATTTCCCGGTTCCCAGTGCTGGCAACTAAACTAAACAGGGGTTCAGGTTTCATCTTCCTCATTGCGGATTTAGTTTAGTTTTCTGATCCGGAGTCTTCGTCGTCGTCTTCTTCGTCCGCGGAGCCCTTGAAGCAAGCCGACTCGTAGTGCTTGTTCAGGTAGGACTTGAGGGCGAAGGTCTTATTGCAGCGCTTGCATCGGTAGTGCTTGAAGGCAGAGTGTGTTTGCATGTGAGCACGGAGGTTCGATCGGTCGGCGAAAGCTTTGCCACAGTGTGCGCAGGCGAAGGGCTTCTCCCCCGTGTGGGACCGCTTGTGACCCTGCAGCAGCCACGGCCGGCTGAAGGCCTTGCTGCACACGTCGCACTTGTGCTTGAGGTCGTGGGTGAGGATGTGCATGGCCAGCGCCGGCATGGACACGTACACCTTGTTGCAGGTGGGACACTTCCTGGCCATCTTGCTGTCGAGGCTTCGATGCGTCTGCTTGTGTCGGCTCAGGTTGGAAGACGTGGCGTACGTTTTGCCGCATTCGTTGCAAGAGTGGCGAGCCGTTCCCGTTGCTAATCCCGTTCCCGATCCTTTCTCCGTGGAGCTGCTGCCTCCGTTAGCGCTGCTGCTCCTCGACCCGCTGCCACCGCCACGACTTTCCGAGTCCGCCTTTCTTCTGGAGCGCCCGTCGGAGATGAAGAAGGCATCCATGGTGTAGCCCTCGTCCAGCGCCTCAGACTCGCCGCTGTAGAAGCCGCTGGCCGTCATGCCGGACTGCGGGCTGTCGGGCTGCTTCAGGTCGGGGTCGCAGTATTCCTCGCCGCCGCTGCTCACCTGCGAGTACAGCGGGTCGGACACCGGAGACGCCAACTTGGGCTCCATCTTCTTCTCCCCCTGGTATACGGATGGCGTGATGTAGTCCTGGATGTAGCCTGAGAGAGAGACAACACACTTTTAATTCCCTTTTTAAAGGTAATTATGCAAAATCCACTTTTTCATGTCTTTTATACATCACCATGTGTCCCCTCTGAGAAAGATTCTCTCTCTTCCTGATCCATTCTATAAAAACCTGTCTGAAAATGAGCTGATCAGATTTTGACCACTTGATGATGTCATCACGATGTGTTGTCTTGTCCAACCATTAGCCAATCAGCAACCAAGGTGACCCCCC